CTCGGCTAGATCTCGGCTAGATCTCGGCTAGATCTCGGCTAGATCTCGACTAGGCCGCGCCTCGGCGCCCATCGGCTCGGGCGCCGCGAAGGGCCTCTCCTGCGCCATGGCCTCTTGCATCCAGCGGTCGCGGCCTGGCTGCATCGAGACGGGGGCGCCTAGGGGGAGATATGGGGAGATATGGGGAGGGATGGGGAGAGAGGGGGGGAGATGGGGAGAGAGGGGGAGGGATGGGGAGAGATGGGGAGAGATGGGGGGGAGATGGGGAGAGATGGGGGAGAGATGGGGAGAGGTGGGGGAGAGATGGGGAGAGGTGGGCAGAGGTGGGCAGAGGTGGGCGGAGGTGGGCAGAGGTGGGCAGAGGTGGGCAGAGGTGGGCAGAGGTGGGCAGAGGTGGGCAGAGGTGGGCAGAGGGCGGAGAGGGGGCGCCCGTCCGCTTGTGGACGAGCACGGCCCGCACGCAGCTACACTCTGCCGCGAGCGCCGCGTCGACCGTCTCCTTGAGCTTGATCAGCTTGCGCGCCTGTTCACGGCTGCAGGTGTGAAGAGACGCTGTTCACAGCGGAGGGCCGTCTCCTTGAGCTTGATCAGCTTGCGCGCCTGTTCACGGCTGCAGGTGTGAAGAGACGCTGTTCACGGCGGAGGGCCGTCTCCTTGAGCTTGATCAGCTTGCGCGCCTGTTCACGGCTGCAGGTGTGAAGAGACGCTGTTCACGGCGGAGGACCGTCTCCTTGAGCTCGATCAGCGCGCGCGCCTGTTCACGGCTGCAGGTGTGAAGAGACGCTGTTCACGGCGGAGGGCCGTCTCCTTGAGCTTGATCAGCTTGCGCGCCTGTTCACGGCTGCAGGTGTGAAGAGACGCTGTTCACGGCGGAGGGCCGTCTCCTTGAGCTTGATCAGCTTGCGCGCCTGTTCACGGCTGCAGGTGTGAAGAGACGCTGTTCACGGCGGAGGACCGTCTCCTTGAGCTCGATCAGCGCGCGCGCCTGTTCACGGCTGCAGGTGTGAAGAGACGCTGTTCACAGCGGAGGGCCGTCTCCTTGAGCTCGATCAGCGCGCGCGCCCGGAGGCCCTCGTCAGCGGTCAGGACGACGCAGCAGCTCGAGTCGACGATACGCGCGCGCAGCGCCTTCGGCGAGGGTGGGTTCGGGTACCGTGGGGGTAGGGGAGGGTGGGTTCGGGTACCGTGGGGGTAGGGGAGGGTTGCGGGAGGGTTGCGGTACCGTGGGGGTAGGGGAGGGGAGCGCCTCGGCGGAGAAGCCCGCGAGATATGGGGAGGTTTAGCGAGATATGGGGAGGTTTAGCGAGATATGGGGAGGTTTAGCGAGATATGGGGAGGTTTAGCGAGATATGGGGAGGTTTAGCGAGATATGGGGAGGTTTAGCGAGGTATGGGGAGGTTTAGCGAGATATGGGGAGGTTTAGCGAGGTCTGGGGAGAGACGGGCAGATAGAGCGCCTCGGCGGAGAAGCCCGCGAAGACCACGGAGTGGATCGCGCCCACACGCGCGCACGCCAGCATCGCGTAGGCCGCCTCGGGCACCATCGGCATGTAGACGCACACGCGGTCGCCTACGCAGCAGCGCCGGCCCCTCGAGCCCTCGACCCCTCGCGCTCTTTCGTTGTCTGGCTGCCTTTCCGGCGTTTGCCGGCCTCTACGGTCTGGTCGCTTGCCGTCGTGTGTGCCCCGGCGTGGAGTGTCCTGTCCTCCCACATCTCCCCACATCTCCCCATGTCTCCCCGACATGGAGTGTGAAGTCTGCCCCCCCCGGGTCTGCTGCGCGTGCGTGCCCCCGCCCCAAGGTCTCCTCTCTACACGCGCGGTCGCCCTTGCGCACGCCGAGCGAGCGGAGGGCGTTGGCGAGGCGGCAGGTGTCGGCGAGAGCCTCGCCGTACGTGATGTGCCGGCAGTCGCCCACCTCGTCGCCCTCCCACACGATCGCCGTCGCGTTCGCGGGGTGCCGGTCGAGGCAGTTGACAGAGACGTTGAGCAGCCCGTCGTCGAACCAGCTCATGTTGCCCTCCGCAAAGTTACCACGGCAGGCCCGCGACGGCGGCACCGTCCACGTGAGCCGCGACTTTGCCTGCTCGAGCCAGTACGCGTCGCTCTCGTCCACCGACCGCTCCCACGTGGCGAGGTAATTGTGCATGCCGCGCACGTGCGAGCCGGACGAGACGGCCTCGGGGATGGAGTAGATCTCCTCCTGCTTGCCGCCTGTCTCTGCGAGGAGGCGGGACGCGCGGGCCGGTGACAGGGGCGGGCTGGTCGGGGCGGCGGCCGGCGGGCGAAGGAGCGGCGCGGACCCATCGTGGCCATGTGTAATCACTGCGGCCCGGCGGCGTGGACGTGGTTCCTTTTTCTTATTTTCTGAGGACAAGGAAAGCCTGGCGTTTGACTCACAAGTCTTGAATCAGTAAAAAAGAATTTTACCTTCAAACGAACCTCGCGCCCCCCCCGGCGAGTTTTTCGAAACTTGGCAGCTGGCGTCGCCTGCCGACGCGCCGCTGCTCGGCCAGCGAGTCGTGCTCGGCGGGCTCTCCTCCCGCCCCGAGCTGAACGGGCAGCGGGGCCTGGCGCGGAGCTTCGAGGGCGGGCGGTACGCTGTGGCGCTCGAGGGCGGCGGCGAGAGCGTGCGGGTGCGACCGGGTAATCTGTCGCCAGCGGTGTCGAGCAGTGGCGTGGCAGTCTCCGACGAGGTCGTGGCAGCGGCTGAGCGAGGCGAGGAGGAGGCGGTGCTGGCGTGGCTTGAGGGCGGCGGGCGGGCCAACGTGACGTTCGAGAGAGGCGGCGTGAGCGGCGCCACGCTGCTGATGGGCGCCGCCGTGTACGGCCACGAGCGGGTGGTCGAGCTGCTGCTGCGGCACGGGGCGAAGGCCAACCAGCAGAGCAGCGACGGCCGCACCGCGCTGTTCCTCGCCGCCCAGGAAGGCCACGAGCGGCTGGTCGACTTGCTGATACGGCACGGCGCAGAGGTCAACCTGCAGGACAGCAGAGGCGGCACCGCGCTGATGACCGCCGCTTTCTTCGGCCACCCCGCTGTCGTGCGGCGCTTGCTGCGGGCGGGCGCAGACGCGGCGGCGCGCACTGCGAACGGCAGCACGGCGCCGCAGCTGGCCAAGGAGAAGAGCCGCGCCGAGTGCGTCGAGGCCTTCAAGAAGCACTTTCAGGAGGTAGCGGGACGGCCCGCGGCGACGGCAGTCGGCGGCAGAGGCGCAGGCGGCGCTTCCTCCGGCGGCGCTTCCTCGGCTGGATCGAGAGTCGCGAAGACGCCATCTCCAGCGGCGGCGGCGGGACGGGCGCCGAGCGGTGGCGTGGCAGCCCCCGATGCGATCGTGGTAGCGGCGGAGCGTGGCGAGGAGGAGGCGGTGCTGGCGTGGCTCGACAGTGGTGGGCGGGTCAACGCGACGTACGAGAGAGGAGACGGCGTGAGCGGCATCACGCTGCTGATGGGCGCCGCCCGCTACGGCCACGAGCGGGTGGTCGAGCTGCTGCTGCGGCACGGCGCTGAGATCAACCTGCAGAACAGTGGCGGCCTCACCGCGCTGATGGGCGCCGCCCACAAAGGCCACGAGCGGGTGGTCGAGCTGCTGCTGCGGCACGGCGCGGAGGTCAACCTGCAGAACAACTTCGGTGGCATTGCGCTGATGCACGCCGCTGAGAACGGCCACGAGCGGTTGGTCGACTTGCTGATACGGCACGGCGCTGAGGTCAACCTGCAGAACAGCGACGGCGTCACCGCGCTGATGAACGCCGCTTTCTTCGACCACCCCGCCGTCGTGCGGCGCTTGCTGCGGGCTGGCGCAGACACGACGCCTACCTTTGACGGCAAGACGGCGCTGCAGCTGGCCAAGGAGAAGGGCCACGCCGAGTGCGTAAAGGTCTTGGCTGAGGCGGCGGCGGCTGCAGACGGCCGGGCAGGGGCGGGCGGCGCTCCCTCGGGCGCGGCAGCGGCAGCGGTGGACGCGCCGCTGCTCGGGCAGCGCGTCGTGCTCGGCGGGCTCTCTTCCCGCCCTGAGCTGAACGGGCAGCGGGGCTTGGCGCAGAGCTTCGAGGGCGGGCGGTACGCTGTGGCGCTCGAGGGAGGCGGCGAGAGCGTGCGGGTGCGGCCGGGTAATCTCTCGCCGGCGGTGTCGAGGGGTGGCGTACCAGTCTTTGATGAGGTCATCGTGGCGGCTGAGCGAGGCGAGGAGGAGGCGGTGCTGGCGTGGCTTGACAGTGGCGGGCAGGCCGACGCGACGTACGAGAGAGACGGCGTGAGCGGCATCACGCTGCTAATGGGCGCCGCCAACAACGGCCACGAGCGGGTGGTCGAGCTGCTGCTCCGGCACGGGGCGAAGATCGACCTGCAGAGGAGCATCGGCTCCACCGCGCTGCTGCTCGCCGCCGACCAAGGCCACGAGCGGATGGTCGAGTTGCTGCTGCAGCACGGCGCTGAGATCAACCAGCAGAACAGATTCGGCGTCACCGCGCTGATGCTCGCCACCCGGGAAGGCCACGAGCGGGTGGTCGACTTGCTGCTCCGGCGCGGCGCGGAGATCAACCTGCTGAACAGCAAGGGCGACACCGCGCTGATGTACGCCGCCGTCTTCGACCGCCCCGCCGTCGTGCGGCGCTTGCTGCGGGCGGGCGCAGATTCGACGGCGCGCTGTGCGAACGGCAAGACGGCGCTGCAGCTGGCCAAGGAGAAGGGCAACGCCGAGTGCGTCGAGGCGTTCAGGCAGCACGTCAAGGAGTCGGTCGTGGCGGGACGGCCCACGGCGAGGGCAGTCGGCGGCAGAGGCGCAGGCGGCGCTTCCTCCGGCGGCGCTTCTGTCCTGGCAGCCCCCGACGAGGTCGTGGCAGCGGCTGAGCGAGGCGAGGAGGAGGCGGTGCTGGCGTGGCTTGAGGGCGGCGGGCGGGCCGACGCGACGTACGAGAGAGGCGAGGTGAGTGGCATCACGCTGCTGATGGTCGCCGCCCGCAGCGGCCGCGAGCGGGTGGTCGAGTTGCTGATTCGGCACGGCGCGGAGGTCAACTTGCAGAGCAGGAAAGGCGTCACCGCGCTGATGCGCGCCGCCAACGAAGGCCACTCCGCCGTCGTGCGGCGCTTGCTGCGGGCGGGCGCAGCTGCTGCGGCGCGCAATGTTGACGGCAAGACAGCGCTGCAGGCGGCCAAGGAGAAGGGCCACGCCGAGTGCTTGCGTGCCCTCGAGGAGCATGCGGCGGCGGAGGCGGCGGCTGAGAAGGCGGCGAGGGAGGCGGCGGAGGCGGAGGCGGCGGAGGCGAGGGAGGCGGAGAGAGCGGCGGCAGAGGCGGCTGCGGCGCGGCATGCCGAGGCGCTGCTGGCGGAGGAGGAGGCGGAGAAGGAGGGGGAGCGCGCCAAGGAGAGCAAGAAGGGGAAGAAGAAGAAGAAGAAGAAGGGGAACGGCGGCGGGGGCGGCGCTGGGCCGTCGCGGGAGCCCGACGATGAGGCAGCGTTGGCGGCGGGAGAGGAGGCGGAGTTGGCGGCGCTCGAGGAGAGCGCGAGGCTGGAGGAGGAGAGGCGGGCGCCCGACGAGCAAGTGTCGTCCTCTTTGGCTGCAGAGAGGCCGCCTTCGGTGGAGGAGGAGGAGCCGCCGGACGACTTCATTTGCCCGATCACAACCGAGGTGATGGTCGACCCGGTGATGGCGGCGGATGGGCACTCATACGAGCGCTCGGCGATCGAGCGCTGGCTCGCGACCAAGTCGACCAGCCCTCTTACGGGCGAGGAGCTCGAATTCACTCGGCTCATCCCAAATCACACACACCGCCGGATGATCCGACAGTGGCAAGAAGCCGCTCGCACCTGACACGCTTCTCGCTTGTGGCGCTGCGGCGCTGGCGGGCACTGCTCAGAGTGAGCTCACTGGCCACTGCTCTCTGGTCAAATCTCAAATCGTTGTCGGTGAAAGGACCCTGAGAAAGGACCTGATTGAAATAATCGTCGTAAAACGAGAGACCTGCTCTGTTGAATCGTGTGGTACGGCTCTACGGACTCGAGGGTACGGAAGGTCTGTGCGAATTTTTGTTTGAGTGAATCGTGCTTTTCTGTTGAATCGTGCTTGCCAGCCTTCTAACGATTTTCGTTCGCGCAGAGGAGTGAGGAGAGAGAGAGCGAGACGCAGAGGAACGCGTCGTCTACGACTGGCGAGGTACTCCCACGCCTCTCGGTATTTTATCTGGCCGAGTCAACCCAACGAGAAGCCAGGCCAGAGGCCAACGTGGTGCCCGTTGATAAGCACGGGTTGCCGTATCGTGGCACGGAGCGGGAGATGATACAGAAGCTGCTTGGGAGGGCGAGTAGACGGGCCGGAGCGCGATGGGCGACCTCTGCGCCTCTCATGCCGCCGCCAGAAAAACGGTATGGCGGGTGGAGTGCTCTCTACTGCCGCGGCGCCCCTGTCGGTTCGGAGGCGCCAGGCGGCCGCGCGCTTGGTGCCGACGTCGACCGGGTGCTCTCGCGGCGCCGAGACGTGCCGCTTTGGTCACGTCTCGCGCGCTGCGAGGTGCCTTTCGGCATGTGAGCGCTTGCCATAGACGCCAGGATGGTTGGCTTCTACGCCTGCGGCCGCGCGGCCGCGGGCGAGCGGGCGGGCACGCATGGCTCGGCGACGCTCTGCGCGGGTCTTCGAGCTCGCAGCCCGCGACGAGCCAGCATGGCTCGTCGCTCGACGGCAGCCTGCTCATATGCTCTGGGCATTCTGTACAGCCTCGCCAAGCTCTGTGGGAGGGTCCGCAGGGCCAGGGCGGGCCGTCTAGGGCGCGACGCGGCGCGCTGAGTTGTACCATGTGACTATGCGCTCTCCGATCGGGTCGCCGGCAGCGGGCTTGCGCGGCGCGCCGCTCGACGGCAGGCTGCTCCCCACCCTTCCAACAGTGTCTTCTACCTCGCTTCTCCTGCTGCAACCGTCTCCAGGGGCCGGCGCCGACCGCCTCGCTTCGCCAGCACTGCCTACGCCTACGACACGCGTCGGCTCGCCGCCCGCGTCGCCTGCGGCGGGCCCGTGTGGCGCACTGCTCGTCGGGAGCGTGCTCAGCAGCCAGGCTGTGCAGCGTAGCCTGACTCACTCAGAGCGCCGCTGATGCGGCGTGGGGCCGCCGGCGGCGCTGCTGCCGCGCACGCTGCGCTGTGGGCGTCACCATCGTGTCCTCGCCGCGTCGCCGACGCCACTTGCGGCTCGCGGCTGCCCTGCCCTTCCCTGCCATCGCGCAAACAGACACACACACACACACACACACACACACACACACACAAACACACACACATTATTAAGGATCGGGTAATAATTATTAATTATGAATCATCGGCCGGCGGCGCGGCGCGGAGGCGGGCGGCGCGAGGCGGCGGCGCGGCGAGGCAGCGGGCGGCGCAGGGCGGGGCGGCGCGGCGGCGGGTGGTATAATTACTTATTAATTAATTAATAATGAATTAATAATCATCGGGCGGCGGCGCGGCGGCGGCGGGCGGCGTGGAGCGGGGCGGCGCGACCATCTGTACTGACGGGGCCTCTGGTCTTTGATGCGGCGCAAAGGTCGCGCTGCCCTCGACTCAAGGGGCTGCCTTCCACCCGTAGCTGCTCAGGCCGGGGGAGGGGGGGGAGACCTCCTGTTCCCCGCGGAACACGAGAAGGCCCCTCCTTGCCCGGTCTGTGATGCAGGGCGGTGGTCGTGCCATCGTCGCTTCGTACGCGCAAACACCCCGCCGCAACCGTCGCCGGCGCGCGACACGTTCCCGTAGGCAGGACTGTCCTCGTCGAGAGTGTGTGCCGCCAAGGCGGGACACACTCAGGGACAGTGCCGACGGGACGCGGCTCGAGAGACGACTCCCGCGAAGGCACGGCTGGCATCCGTGGCGTGGGGCTCGTCTTCGAAAAGTCGGGCATGGCTCTACCCGCAACTTTCTCGCTAACACGCGCGCACCGCCGAGCCTGCGGCGGGCGCGCTGAGGCCGCACGTCTACCTCCGTCATAGTGCCACGACGTGCGGCCTAGATTTAGCACACGCGCCTCTGCTCGCAAGATACACTCATACAAAAAATTGTCATCACCCGTGAGTGCGAGATAGGGCTAGCAGTAGGCAGCTAGCCTGTGAGGAGGGCGTCCATAGACACCTCACTAGACCCCACACACGGTCTCGTCCGTGCCTCGCCGGCAGGCGAGATTGCTGGAGGTAGAGCAAGCCTGCTCTAGCCTCGCATGTTACTTCCTGTCGGGTCTGTTGTTTGTTGTGCCCTTGTTTGTTCTCTTGGCACCTTGGAGTGCTGGGGGGGGCGACAGGAAGAATGTGGCCTTGAGTTATGTGTACGCCTACTCAGGGTGTGTGGCAGCCAGCTGGCTGTGTGTCTTGTGAGCCTGTTTGTGTCTGTGTGTCGCTCGTGCGTGCCGTCATCATCTGTCCAGCGTCCACCCTCCGGAGGGCCCCCGGCCGCGGCGCGGTCGGTGCGGCGGCGTCACACACAAATCCGCAACAAAACCAACAACCCCTCTCTCTCTCTCTCAAATCCGACCACACCGGGACGCGGTCGGGCGATCTGAGGTAGGTCCAACTAGGCGTATGCATTGCCCATCCAGGGCTATCACCTGGACCATGTATGTATGTATGTAGGAAGGTGAAGAACAGTCAGGCTCGGACCATGGCACCAGGAGTTGTTCACACCTGCCCATTCATGCAGCAGACGAAGGTTCTACGAGGGCAGGAGAGAGATCCCTTCACTTGAACTGCGCTTGTGAGAGGATGCAGCACGAAGCAGCTGGCACGTCGCCTGCCGACGCGCCGCTGCTCGGGCAGCGCGTCGTGCTCGGCGGCCTCTCGGCCCGCCCCGAGCTGAACGGGCAGCGGGGCCTGGCGCGGAGCTTCGAGGGCGGGCGGTACGCTGTGGCGCTCGAGGGCGGCGGCGAGAGCGTGCGGGTGCGGCCAGGTAATCTGCCGCCAGCGGTGTCGAGGGGTGCCGCGGCAGCCCCCGACGAGGTCATCGCAGCAGCGGAGCGTGGCGAGGAGGAGGCGGTGCTGGCGTGGCTTGAGGGCGGCGGGCGGGTCAACGCGACGTACGAGAGTGACGGCGTGAGCGGCATCACGCTGCTGATGGACGCCGCCCGCTACGGCCACGAGCGGGTGGTCGAGCTGCTGCTGCGGCACGGCGCTGAGATCAACCTGCAGAACAGCGGCGGCTTGACCGCGCTGATGTTCGCCGCCGGCCAAGGCCATGAGCGGGTGGTCGAGCTACTGCTGCGGCACGGCGCTGAGGTCAACAAGCAGGTTAGCGACGGCGGCACCGCGCTGATGTTCGCCGCCGGCCAAGGCTACGAGCGGGTGGTCGACTTGCTGATTCGGCACGGGGCGGAGATCAGCCTGCTGAACAGCAACGGCGTCACCGCGCTGATGTACGCCGCCCTCTTCGGCCAAACCGCTGTCGTGCGGCGCTTGCTGCGGGCGGGCGCAGACACCGCGGCGCGCGTTGCGAACGGCAAGACGGCGCTGCAGCTGGCCAAGGAGAAGGGCCACGCCGAGTGCGTCGAGGCCTTCAAGAAGCACTTTCAGGAGGTGGTGGCGGGACGGCCCACGGCGACGGCAGCCGGCGGCGCAGGCGCAGGCGGCGCGTCCTCCGGCGGCGCTTCCTCGGCTGGATCGAGGGTCGCGACGACGCTATCTCCGGCGGCGGCGGCGGGGCGAGCGTCGAGCGGTGTCGTGGCAGCCCCTGATGCGGTCGTGGTAGCGGCGGAGCGAGGCGAGGAGGAGGCGGTGCTGGCGTGGCTCGACGGCAGCGGGCGGGCCGACGCGACGTACGAGAGAGGCGGCGTGAGCGGCCTCACGCTGCTGATGGTTGCCGCCCGCAGCGGCCACGAGCGGGTGGTCGAGCTGCTGCTGCGGCGCAGCGCTGACATCAACCTGCAGACTAGCGACGGCGACACCGCGCTGATGTTCGCCGCTGGCGGAGGCAGCGAGCAAGTGGTCGAGCTGCTGCTGCGGCACGGCGCGGAGATCAACCAGCAGAACAGCGGCGGTGGCACCGCCCTGATTATCGCCGCCAACCAAGGCCGCGAGCGGGTGGTCAACTTGCTGCTTCGGCACGGCGCAGAGGTCAACCTGCAGAACAGCCACAGCGGCACCGCGCTGATGGGCGCCGCCCAGGAAGGCCGCGAGCGGCTGGTCGACTTGTTGCTGCAGCGCGGCGCAGAGGTCAACCTGCAGAACAGCGACGGCGACACCGCGCTGATGGGCACCGCCTTATACGGCCATGAGCGGGTGGTCGACTTGCTGATGCAGCGCGGCGCTGACGTCAACCTGCAGAACAGCGACGGCCGCACCGCGCTGATGGGCGCCGCTCATCACGGCCACGAGCGGGTGGTCGACTTGCTGCTGCAGCACGGCGCGGAGCTCAACCTGCAGGACAGCGAAGGCTGGACCGCGCTGATGCGCGCCGCCCACCAAGGCCACGAGCGGATAGTCGATTTGCTGATACGGCGCGGCGCTGAGGTCAACCTGCAGGACAGCGACGGCGACACCGCGCTGATGTACGCCGCCCTCTTCAACCACCCCGCCGTCGTGCGGCGCTTGCTCCAGGCGGGCGCAGATGCTGCGGCGCGCAATGTTGACGGCAAGACGGCGCTTCGGTGGGCCAAGGAGAAGGGCCACACCAAGTGCTTGCGCGCCCTCGCGGCGGCGGAGGCGGCGGCTGAGAAGGCGGCGAGGGAGGCGGCGGAGGCGGAGGCGGCGGAGGCGAGGGAGGCGGAGAGAGCGGCGGCAGAGGCGGCTGCGGCGCGGCATGCCGAGGCGCTGCTGGCTGAGGAGGAGAAGGAGAAGGAGGCGGGGGAGCGCGCGAAGGAGAGCAAGAAGGGGAAGAAGAAGAAGAAGGGGAAGGGCGGCGGGGGCGGCGCTGGGCCGTCGCGGGAGCCCGACGATGAGGCAGCGCTGGCGGCTGGAGAGGAGGCGGAGTTGGCGGCGGCGCTCGAGGAGAGCGCGAGGCTGGAGGAGGAGAGGCGGGCGCCCGACGAGCAAGTGTCGTCCTCTTTGGCTGCAGAGAGGCCGCCTTCGGTGGAGGAGGAGGAGCCGCCGGACGACTTCATTTGCCCGATCACAACCGAGGTGATGGTCGACCCGGTGATGGCGGCGGATGGGCACTCATACGAGCGCTCGGCGATCGAGCGCTGGCTCGCGACCAAGTCGACCAGCCCTCTTACGGGCGAGGAGCTCGAATTCACTCGGCTCTTCCCAAACCACACACTCCGCCGGATGATCCGACAGTGGCAAGAAGCCGCTCGCACCTGACACGCTTGTGACGGGCACTGCCACGTGCCACAGCCCACACTGCTCAGAGTGAGCTCACTGGCCACTGCTGACTGCTCTCTAGTCAAATCTCAAATTCGTTGTTGGTGACCTGATTGAAAGGACCTGACCTCTTGAAAGTTGAAATATGGAAAAATCATCGCAAACGACGAGAGACCTGCTACCCGACAAACTTCGTTGACACACACACACACAGCACACACACACACACACACACACACACACACACACACACGCCGAGGCGCCGGCTCGCGGCAGCACCGGAAATCGTACGGACCAAGAGGGGGCGGTCTCAGCGGAGGCTCACCCTGCGCTGCGCCGAGTCAGGCGGGGAGCCGCCTGCAGCAGCCGCACCTCGCTTCCGGCGAGGTGCGCCGGCCTCTCAGCCTCGAGCACCTCGGCCGGCCTGTCCGGCGCCGTGAGCAGCCGCCTCCCGCCGTCGCCCCGCGGCGCCGGCGGCGGCGCTCGGAAGCCCGCCGCCCACGGCTTCCACTCTGGCCTCGCTCGCGCCCGCCGTCCAGCCCCTCCGCTCCACATGGGTTTGCGGTGCGGCGCCGGGAGCTCCGACAGGCCTCTTGGGAGCTCCTCACTGTCCTCATCCGAGCTGCTGTTGTAGGCGGAGGCGGGCTCGAGGCTGGAGGCGGGCTCGCGAAGCGAGGCCGGCCATGCGTTGGCAAGGATCGGGCTGTACACCAGCAGCTCCTGCGACGGCGCCCACTCGTACGAGGCGCAGGCACTCGCCGTCGAGTGGGCGATGATGGGCGAGATGTGCCGCTCCGGCACACGCCACTGGCTGCCGCGGCAGAGCACTTCGCGCCGCATCACCACAAAACCCGCACCCTGGATCTCTCTCGCCGCGTTTGCCGCGGGCCGCGCCTCTTCCATCCTCGCTTCGAGCTCACGCAGGCGCTCAAGGAGATTGCGATTCGCGCGGTCCGGGCGGCGCGCCACCTGCTCACGCAGTGACTCGCACTGCGCCTCGAGAGTGGCGAGCACACGAGCAATGGCCGGCTCGGCAGCGAAAGCCATCGTTGGGCTTTCGACGCTGTGGCTGGGATCGTTCGAGAAGAATTCTGCGACTCCAAGCCCCTCTCACAGCAACCAGAGAACCTCACATGACCCCACACACGGTCTAGTTCGGCCTCGCGGTCGGCGGAGATTGCTAGAGGACGAGCAAGCCTGCTCTAGCCTCGCACGTTGCTTCCTGTCGTCTGTTGTTTGTTGTGCCCTTGTTTGTTTCTCTTGGCACCTTGAGTGCTGGGGGGGGCGACAGGAAGAATGTGGCCCTGAGTTATGTATACGCCAACTCAGGGTGTGTGGCAGCCAGCTGGCTGTGTGTCTTGTGAGCTTGTTTGTGTCTGTGTGTCGTTCGTGCGTGTCGTCATCATCTGTCTCGCGTCCACCCATACCGCGTTGGTGTCCAGTCCGAGCCTGGCTGTTCTTCACCTTTCTACCTACCTACCTACCTACAGCAAGGAGGGCGGAGCTGCGCCGAAAGGCGAAAGAAGCCGAGAGAACAAGGGAACGGCAGGCGGCGGCGGCGCAGGACGAGGCAGAAGAGAATGACGCGACAGAGGAGGAAGTGACAAGGGAGAGAACGACGAGAGTGGGACGGCCGCGAGGTGGCATGAAGGTTGCAGCGAGAATCGGCGAGAGACTGCGAAAAGAGATAGGAAGAGGCAGACTCCCTAGGGTGGGCGACGGCTAGCGCATCACACTCCTCTCCTTAAAATCCCTGTGTGGTGGCGGCGTGCCGTCCTCCCATCCCTCCCTTCTCCCCTGCCAAGCGAGGCGGCGCGCGACGGCAACATGCCGACGGCGAGGACAACGCGCGCGACGTAGCGTCGCCGTTGATGCGCGCCGAACGCGGCGGCGAGCGCGCGGCTCTCGCGCGCCTAACGATGGCCGAGCCCCCGGCGAGCGCGGCGTCGCGATCGCGCCGCGCCGCGCCCGACGGCGTCGACCCGTCGTTCGCGTCACTCGTCGAGGCGGAGATGCTCTTGACTCCGCAGACCGACGCCGCCGACGACGACGCAGCGGCGGTGCGTTGGGATGACGTCGGCGGGCTCGAGCCGACGAAGCAGCTACTCACCGAGGCGGCGATCCTGCCGATGCTCATCCCCGACTTCTTCACGGGCGTGCGTGCGCCGTGGCGCGGCGTGCTGCTCTTCGGGCCGCCGGGCACGGGCAAGACGCTGCTCGCGCGCGCGGTCGCGTCGCAGGCGCGCGCCGCCTTCTTCAGCGTGAGCCCGGCGAGCCTGCTCTCCAAGTTTGTCGGCGAGTCGGAGAAGGTGGCGCGCGCGCTCTTCTGCTGCGCGCGCGCGCGTGCGCCCGCCGTCGTCTTCTTCGACGAGGTCGACGCGCTGCTCGCGACGCGCGGCGGCGCGGGCGAGCACGATGCGTCGCGCCGGCTCAAGACGGAACTGCTCACGCAGATGGACGGCGTGCCGACAAGAGGCGGCGGTGCGCCGCGCGTGCTCACGCTCGCGACGAGCAACCGGCCGTGGGACCTCGACGACGCGATGCGGCGGCGGCTCGAGCGGCGGATCTACGTACCGCCACCGGACGCGCGCAGCCGCGAGGCGATGCTGCGCATCCACACCGCCGGCCTCCGGCTGCATGCTGACGTGCGGCTCGCTACGCTCGCCGCGCACCTGGACGGCTACTCGGGCGCCGACGTGCAGCTCGTCTGCCGCGACGCGGCGCTCATGACGATGCGCGCGGCGATCGCGGGCAAGAGCCCCGACGACATCGTCGCGCTGCAGGCGCGCGGCGCGCTCGACGGCGAGCTCACGCACGACGACTTTATTCGCGCGGCGGCGACGACGCTGCCGTCGATCGCGCCCGAGCATCTCCAGCGCTACGAGGCGTGGAACGCGGAGTTCGGGTGCGAGCTGCGCGCCGCGCCGACGCCGTGCGCCGCGCCGACGCCGCCGTGCGCCGCGCCGACGCCGTGCGCCGCGCCGACGCCGTGCGCCGCGCCGACGCCGTGCGCCGCGCCGACGACGCCCGAGGCGACGACGCCGCCCGAGGCGGAGCCGGAGGCCGCGCTGGTCGCCGCGGACGCGCCGGAAGCCGCGCCGCCCTCTTCAGCATAGCAAATCCTGAGGGTCTAATGACGTTCGAAACGCGAGGCTACAACGCGGACTCTCCCCTCGGCCCGACGATCCGCGTCAAAATTTGGGGATCTGCTCAAGGTCGCGAGGGTCGCTCCCCTTGCCCCACACCTGCCGTGTGTGTGGAGAAATTCACCTCACCTTACCCTTACGTTCCGATGAAAAAAATAGCTCCCCCCATTTTTTTCGTAAATTCTCAGATCCAGAAATTTCCTGGAAATATCCGTGTTCCTATAGTTGCTATAGTTCTTGTACATAGAAATCTCATTGGCGCGTCGCTCGTGTGGTCGGCCCCGCGTGAGCATGTTCTCCGTGCTGTGATTGGGCCAGGGTGGTCTCTTGTGTCATGTGTGCGTCTGTTGTATACAATCTACCAACGATGTTGTACACCGTACGACGTCCCCCTTTCGCGACACAAAAATAGCGTAGCACCGTGACCTCTTCCTAGAACGCCTGCTTGATCTGCCGCCTGACCTCGCGGTCCTGCTCTCTGCGCCGGATGGTCTCGCGCTTGTCCTGCAGCTTCTTCCCCCTCGCCACGGCGATCTTGAGCTTGAGGCACGAGCGCGCGTTGAAGTACGCCGAGAGCGGCACCACCGTCAG